ACATGTAGGTACTAAGTACTGCATCAGCTTTCCTCGAGTTCGGACCTCGGATTAATTCTTCAATATGTTTACGACAGTTGCAGGACGAGCCAGTTCTATTGACTTCGAAATGGCCAACACTCTGACTAGTGTGTAGTTTAAGTGGCATTTTGTTCACCATGGTCGGTGAAGCAATGGTTTGATATACCACTCATCTGAACTTACGAGTCACTAGGTCACGTCGCTGCAGGCACAACTAATCCCAATGAAGCCAGTATATTCCTCTAGGAATTAGCCCAAACTGGAAATTTCTTTTTCCAGCCTTTACGTGCTCACTGTATAGTTTTCGGAAAAAATGCTAACAAGGTGCAAATTAGGATGATGCACCGTAAATGCCAAACAAATAATTGTATAAATTTGCACCTTTCAATCTCCTCCGGAAATGAGCGATTTGCATTATCATATGTGAAAAAACACCATTATTTGGAGGGAAAATTGCTAACAATTCAAAAACTAGGTGCAAATGTTCAAATTGATTGCCAGAATGTTATGCAACATTTTCACCCAAAAATATTAAGTGGAAACCTTTTTTTTCTAATTTTTGTTTTTTACAATAATTATTGACATCGAGAAAATTCCAAACAGGGTGCAAATCACAACAGCAATTCTAAATAATATTTCAACCCTTACTTCGAGTTTGCACCTCTATATGAAGCACGGAATAAGAAATATCTCCAAAATATCACTCAAATAATATTAACGCTGTGTCGCGTCACAGATTATTTTAAATATTTTATACTTATTCCGCGCTTCATATAGGGGTGCAAACTCGAAGTAAAGGAGGCAAAACGTTTGAGGGGTGCCATGTATGTAAAATGGAAAGTTTGTAGGTACCTACCTATTAACCAAAATCGCAAAAAAAAAAATATTTTTACCGGAAAATTTTTTGTACCAGTGCTAAATTTCAGGGGGGGGGGTTTAACCCCCAAAACCTCCCCTTGGGTGCGCCACTGGTGAATGAATATATCTGCTGACAACAATATGTCTATTTTACCTGGCTTATTGAAACTATCATCTGATAATAATTTAACTGATTCGGGAATACAAAAATTATTAAAATTGGAAAATTCAAATTGAGGTAATTGACCAAATTGTTCAACCACTGACGGCTCGTGATTTTGTCAAAAATGTCATTCACGAAATTGCCAAGCAACAAACTTTCATACCTTTCGAAAATTTTGCCGACAAAATTTTTTCTCTTGTGTTTATGAAAAATTCCTAAAATTAGTGTACTTTCCTGAGATTTTTCTTGCAAAATTCACTGTAATACTCCTCGGAATGTTCATTTGAAGCACTGGAGAACAATATCCAGCTTGAAGGACCAATATGTGGGATGCAAACTCGCACATGAGTTAAAAATGAAATCTTTCGCACTTCCACTAAGTTGTAATGTATATTAACATTCAACACTTTTACATTAGAAAGATACCCAGAGGGTAGTAGTCCAGGAGGTAGTGAAATTTTTTAGCACTTATTTTCCCAGTTGGTGTATATTAAATAGTTTGTTCTCTTGGTGATACAAAACAAGAATATTTGAGTTACGCAAAAATTTTCGGATGAGTTCACAATATCAATGAAAAATACAAGTAGGTAAGTACACTTATTTTCCCAGTCATAAATATTTCACATTCACAACTACCATAGAACATAAAGAATATGAAAATAGCAATTTGGCTTATCTCAGATAGTGGAAAGTGAGTCTGGCTGAACTTTTTCGAATCTTCAATTTTTTACTTGCCAGACGTATTATCCATGCTGACAGATTAGCCCGATTATTTTTTTACGTAACTTTAGTATATACTTCTCATTAGTAGACCTATTTTTATCACTGGAAAAAAAAGGGCCGTGCATTCGTAAGCTCTAACGCATTTTGCGCCTCAACTCATCGGAAAAAACCCCCTAAAAATATATGAATTTTGCTTAGAATTACTAACCCTACAATTCTGTCCATGTTGTCTGACTGGGAAAATAAGTGCCGAAAATCGTCACTGCATCCTAGACTATAGAGCTTCCAAATGAGGTACGAAACTTGCATTAAAATGAAATTAAGCTTGAGAGAATAGGGGCGACAAGCTCATGTCATAGAGAAATATAATAGTAGTAAACTACGAGAGAAGTCATTCCCCTGTACTTAACTGGCACAATGTCGACGTTAGCGCCTCTGGTGGCTACGGACAGCAATAAAAGAGTGAACATTGTTTAACTGCAGGTTTCTTCTTTACCGACAGTGAAAAGGCGGCTTTTTTGAATAATTAAATTATTAAGTTTGATTTTATTTAAGATTTATTAAAAAAAGTACTGTAAACGCTCAAAACAGTTAATTGCAAAGCAAAACATTTGTTGAAAAAACTTACTAAAATTTACCAAGCAACTGTTTAGAACGATAACAGAACTTATTTTAAAAAAATCCAAATTAGATGCAATGAGATTCCTTAAGGGGGTCAAGGAGGTAATTGAACAATACAAAAATTGAGATATCTTCAAACAAACTTATTTTTTTATTCCAATTTTATAAATATACAGTAACTAAAAATGTTTGTATTATAAGCTTTGTGTTTACCTTTCTACTGCATCTCGCATCATCGCAAATTCGAAAACACACTATTATTGATGTCGGTTTTGTCTAATTAATTAATATTTATGATCACATAATGTTTTCTCATTTCTCTAATATAAATAATAGAAGAAATTTTAAGTTATGATGATGAGCATTCAGTTTTTGATTGATGGTCTTCGGATTCAATCATAGACGATTCAATAATTTGTCAAATTTTGACAATTTCGTATTTTGTATGTGTTAAAGAAAGATAGAACATTTTCGGGCAAGTTGCTGACAAAGACAAATTGAACCGACTTGTCAGAAACGATTGAAGTAATTAGTTCAATAATCTGCCACACCATGCGAAATACGCTACGGGTATGTGCACAAACACACTTCCAGATTGTTACATTAAACAAACGTCTCTCGTAGTTTACTACTATTATATTTCTCTATGGCTCATGTTCTTACATCTTTCAATATTTGACAATAATAGCAAAAATATGAAGTTGTCACGTCTGGTGCATAGTTGCATTTGATCTTGCCTGTTTACTGGATCTTCATTGTCGTCCCTGATGAGGTTGTTGGTTCTGGGTCTAAAGCCATTCTTTCTTGTTCTCATTGTCTTATAGAATTTCCTGGTATTGTTCCATCCATCGGCTTCCAGCTCCTGCAACTCCTGATTTTGTTGTTCTCTTTTTTTCTTATTAGTAGTTGATTAGCCTTTCTTATTAGTTGTGTGAATTTACTATTATTGCCTTCAGTAGGATTCTGCGTCATTACTAATCTTGCATTATTTCTCTCCTTAGGTGCCCTCTCACATTTCAGATCGTACAGGTGGTTTCTATGTTTGTTTCTTGGCTTTACTCCCAAAGCCACTCTTGCTGCCCCTATAATTGTATCTATTCCTCATGACGAAATCAAATGTCCAAAGAAGTTTACTTTCTCTTGGAACAGGACACACTTCTTTGGGTTCAAGGGCAATATCTGTTATGAAGCCTTTAGCGGGTTGAGATCTCGTATTTGCAGGGCTCATTTCTAGGTACCCCAATGCGTTGTTGCCAGATTGAACACCTAGTATAATAGATCTTATCATTAAGTGAGCAATAAATATAATCAAATTTTCGAACATTCTTCAGGAATCAGGTTTAATATAGCCGTTTTTGCACCAATAGGGAATTTTCATATTTCTCAAATTATTTTTTTTTAGATACTTCTAGTGATAAGATATATTATATAGTTTTCTTTTTTTTCCATTTAAAGTTATACGTTGTACGAAAATTTTTTTATTGAAATTAAAATCAAAAACTTTGGCGCGAAAACACGGAATCTCAATATGACAGCTCTCGTGACGTCAAAATTTTGTAAACTACAAACGCAGCAAATGAACTGGCATTGTTTTGGCGGGAAATTTTTTATTTCAAATTTAGTATTATTTTTTTTCTACTATTGTGCGTAAAGTACTTACTTTACGCACTACTCAAAACAAGTAAAGTTTAACTTCACGAACTAGTGCGTAAAATAATGTCAATGACAGATGTCGACACTGTCAATTTAGCATTTTTCTGGTAAATTACTTCACGCACTAGTGCGTAAAGTTTTTGTCTAAATCTATTTTTTTACACATATTTGATTGGTAGTAGAAAAAAATTTGTATGCAATACGTGCGTAAAGAACATTTTTTCACTTATGTGATTGTCGCATTCGCCTTCGGCTCGTGCGTCAAAATTCACATTCGTGAAAAAAGGTTCACTTTACACACTTGTTACATAAATAACTATTTTGCAAGGGCGGTATCAGTTGAATTAATACTTGTCATATAAATATTATGCAGTATAAACTATCGATTTAAAATAAATTTGGAAAATTTTATTCCACTTGCAAGTTGTTCCCTACTGAAAAAAAAGCAAACATGGTGAAACCTTTTAGAAACCTTAAGAAAAAAAATAACATGGCGAAACCTTTTAGAAACCTAAAGTTGATTAAAAATACAAGTTATATGCATGGTTTTGGTGGTATTGACTGATTTTGACCTCTACAGGTATGTGATTGTTCTATGTTCTTCCTGATTATGATGATCTTGGAGCGATTATCTTGGACTGCTTGACAACCTCTCGAAATGTTTGAGTTCTTAAAATGCGTTCCTCGACATTATTCACTTGGTGGGACTAAAGTTACCGAGTCTGCAGTCCGCCTTGTATTAAAACTTTCATTTCGAATAACTTGCCCCATCTTACGTCGAGCTTCTAAACTTGATATTGCACTTCATGCAAGAATCGATATCTACCATAGACTTTTTGCCTTGGGAATTGATTTGGAAGATGGAGCTATACGTATAAGTTTATTTTGGAAAAATTTCAATTGTTGCTCAAAATATTAATTGTTTAAATTAATTTTGCATTTTCATTATTTTAGAATAATCATGATGGATTCTCGGTGTAGCATAGACTTTGACGACCTTTTGGACTGCAATAAGAGCCTTGCAGCTTCAACTGAAGAAATTTTGCTATCGGACGATGACACTATTGTAGCGGAACAGGAACACATTTGGAATGAAGGTGAGTTATTAATATTAATATTCAATTTATAATTTATAAACGAGCCGCTCTCAACTGGAAAAATAATAAATAATTCTAAAAGTCATTAAAGCGTAATAAAATCCAATAAACAGTTCATTATAGTTTTTTTTTCTGGCAAATAAACACGGAATATAATTTTATTATTTTGAAATTACTCTTTCCGGTCTAGCGGTTTATTTTTTCAAGCAAGAAATTCAAAACGAACTCGAGTGACACTAATTTAACAAGTTTTTGCGTTTTGAATTTCTTTAATTGCAAAACCTTTTTAATGGTTTCCTGGTTTGTTACTTTCCCGACTATATTATTATCGAAGAAACTTATTAACTTGCTATTTTAATACGCTGTTTTCAAGCTTCGATAATTATTGGACATTTAATAAAATATATTATTGATTTGTAGAATTAATTATCTACTTAGTACCATTTTCTTTCATTTTAAGCACTTGAATTAGCTTAATGAGCTTCTTAGGTCAATTAAGTTTAAAACAATTCACTTTTCAGTAAAACAACAAAATAAAACCTCATGTTTATTCAATTTTTCGTCATCCAAACATTATTGAAAGCTGGATTTTACTACTTACAAGTACAAGTAGATAAAATTTTTCACATTACACGTGCGTTAGAGCAAAATATTAGACTAGTGCTTACGAATTAAGCAAGTTTTTGAGGCAACGCTAGATTGATGCATACAAAAGCATTTTCGAAGAGGCTCCGAGATGGTGGTATCCAGCTTTTTCTGGTACCAAATGAGTTTGGATGGAACGGATAGCGACCAACTACTGCTCTTTCTTGATTTCGTTTATAAGAGAGACGGAGATAAGGGTGATAGCGAAAGGAATTACGTTCGCTATCCATTACAGAAAAAGATCTCTACACTGGATATCTGATATCTACTGGTTAGTATAATCTAGAACATAGATAATGAAATAACGACCATAATTCTTCCTCTGTTCAATCTTGTCAACGATAATGCATTTTGCCTCACTCTTGTATTACAAAATTATGTCCCAGCAAATTGTATATCGGTCGTAAAACCGTTTCGAGATTTTCTTATATACCGTCCAGTTACACCGCTAATCCTCTTGCATCCTTTAAAAGATAACATTAAATATTATCTGCATCTCGTCCGTGTCTTATAAAATACAAACGAACATGCTAATCTCGTAAACTTTGGACTCGCTTGACCGACAGCCCGTTCGCGGTGTTACCTTCTTTCCTTTCACGGACTCTTTATACCATGTATAGCCAATTTTCGCACGAACAAAAAATCACGACAATGATCTTTTCAGTTTGTAAACATAAGTCCGAGACGATGGAGTAAGTAGATTTTCTTTCTTTTAATTTGATATCAAATTGGCCAGAGACAGAGCTGGGCAGTAGCTAGCTACCAAGTAGTTAAGCTACTAGCTTAGCTACTTTTTTGGTAGGTAATAACTTATTCAAGCTACTTTGAAAAAAAAAGTAGCTTGTAGCTGTAGCTTTTGGTAATGTGTTTCAAGTATTCATATGCTACTGTGAAAAGTAGCTAGCTACTAAAACAAGCTACTTACGCTACTTTTGGTAGATAGTTAATAGTTATTTAGGTATTAATGGCGGAAAGTGTCATTTATCGCCCGAGGGTGTGGTTAACGATACTCAACGCCCAAAATACTTATTACGTTTTATGCGCAGCGGACTCTTCTAGTTCAAAAATAAAATAACTATACCTATAATATAATGGCATCCATTCGACATGTTTTCAAAAATAATAGTATATTATATACCTAGGTAGAGAAGTTGGTCCTTATATACCGAGCGCTTTTATAAACCGAGGCGCTCGCGCCGAGGTTTATAATGAGTGAGGTATATAATGACTTTCTCTACCGAGGAATATATAGAATTTTTTTTACTACTGCTAGTAGAAAATGAAAAATTTGTTTAAAATCTGTGCTCCAATTATTTTTTTTGAACGCCCTCTTGAAAGTGCTGCCCTCTATCAACAGCTTATGATAACTTCCTATGTGCCTACAGAAACCTGTATTTTTTTTCAAATTGACGTATGGAAATGAAATTGAACCAATAGAAACATGACAATATCCTTGCGTCATGACGTCATTTTCATTATTAACCTAGGTATTTTTTCATTATTTTCATTATTCACCTAGGGAGAGAAATTCAATTTTTTCCTAGAAAAATAGATTGAATAATGACAATTTCTCAGGTTAGTAGTAAAAAAACAGTTTTCCCCTTATAAAGGCACGTTTCCACCAACCTATCGCCCGCGTTTGAATTTACCGCTCGATAAAAGTAACTTTATACTTTAATTGCTTAAGCTACAATTATAATTTTCCGGAAAATTCTTATCCTGCCTTGCTTATAGCGTTTTCTGTTGGTAAAACTCGTGCTGTCCGAGTTCTGCACTCAACACTGAATCAGTTCACGTTTAGTGCAATCCCAAAAGAACATGAATTTGGCGCGTTTTGTCATTCTTTTCAAATTTATTATTTAACGATCCCTGATCCCTAACCTAACCTAAAGATATTTTCAATGGAATAAAAATTAAAAACGTTTGTGTGTGTGAAAAAGTTGAAAACGGAAGTTTTTCCTGTATGTAAAGTACATAATTATGCTGTCTCCCGAGATGTGCAGAAATAATTCCAATGATACCTGCGTTGAAATTAATTTTGTCCATTTCAATAATAAAATTTTGAATTTTTTTTATCTCATTATCCCTGGCAAACATTCAGGCCTATGATGTATCCTGTCCTGTTATTTCAACGTCTATGTTAAGGCTCAACATATATTTCTGTCTCTATTTTGACGTTGCTGTTAAAATAACAGAAAATGATACATCATAGGCCTGCGATTGTAGATAATAATAATAATAGGTCTGTTTCTGCAGAAATCACAAACCAGTCAGAGTAAATTTCATTGGTTGAAAACAGTCAGAAACAGTCAGAAACTAGTTTCAACCAATGATATTCACTCTGACTGGTTTGTGATTTCTGCAGAAACAGACCTAATAATTCTTCCTCTTCATCGCTGTCGCTCGACGAAGATGAAAAATATAGAATTTTATCAATATCGATATCCATAATTTTTTGGTTTTGTTTATACACAGACTTTTCGGCACTTTACGCCATCTTTGTTGTGCCCAGACATTGGCACGAGCTCTCTGACCTCGTGCTGGAAAAGTTGCACGAGGGCAATAATTGATTGCCCTGGTTTTCCAATAGAACATAAAAACCCGCTCGGAAACTGCCAACAGAACATATTTTTTGCATGAGTGCAGCACGAGTTTTACCAACAGAAAACGCTATAGACTAGTTTCTAGTCATCTCTGTAGGTACCTATGTTTTATGTGTCCTATTTTATTCTCGCATTCGCAAATCACTGTGATCAAAGTGAACCTAATAAATTAATGTCCAGTGGTTTTTACAAAAATATGAATACAACTTAGAGAAAGTTAATATGTTATTTTCGTATGATGATATTATGAAATTAAATTAGGTAAGGCATGTACATTGATAAAAGTAGCTTAAATAGTAGCTCTCACTAATTCAAAATGTAGTTAAGTTACTAATAGCTTAGCTACTTTTTCAAAGAAGTAGTTGAGCTACTGAGTAACTTAGCTACTTACAATATAAAGTAGCTTGTAGCTTGTAGCTAGCTACTTTTTCCAAGTAGCTTGCCCAGAGACACAGAGTATGGTGTGTCCTGGTTGCAGGGATAATGTCCCTTATCAGCATAAGTATAGGCTACAAATTTCTGATAAAAGATAGGTTAAGTTTAGATAAAATATAATGTCTGGTTCTTTTCCAATGCAACATAAAACAACTCAAATTTAAATTACGAAAAATTAGTCCTTCAAGCTTCAAAATGAGGATGTGAGGCCTCCTTGAAATACCTACGAAGGAAATTCTTAGAGAATCCAAAAATAATTTTGTGTCATAATAAGCTCAATATATTAACTTTATGTAAAAGTAAAATACCTAACCACTAATTTTGAAACATTTTGTCGTTTACTTAGATATCAATTTAAAATTATATCTACACCTACCCTTGACCTCATTATCCCTGTTGATGAGGTAATAGAGCCGCACATGGCTTGATTGCCCCATTTGGTTAAATTTTCCAATCAACATATCATTATTTCTATTATTTATTTCTCAGATACATTTCAGATTCCTATGATACAAAAATTATTTGATATATGATTATTTATAGTTTCTGGAAATTTATCTTCAAAGGTATGTTCCTGCCTTCAAAAATGTTGGGATTTCAAGTGTTTTTTTTTTTTTTTTTTGTTGAGCTTTGACTTTAAATTATCATTGGGCACTGCCCAAACTGCATATGTACTTTCAATTGAATTAGGTATTGTCGTCAGATTTGAAGCCGAAATGTTTGAAAAAAGAGTGGGATAATTGAAAAAATATAAAATTCACCCTCGTTCCTTAGCAGGACTGTATCTCTGGAACTATATTTTTTTTACGTCCGTGCGATTTTGCCTACTTTCCCGCACTCATTTTAGTTCAGAAAGTGTCACTCCCGCACTCAGTGCGGGAAAGTAATTTTCAACATAAAAAAATTCTGACAATTCACGCAAAATCTCCATCGTCAAGCAGTCATTCGCAGAAGATACCAGAGCTAAGATCAGAATCCTCGTCTTTGACTTCACCTGTAACCGAGGACTGGGCAATGGCGTCGAATAATCATCCCAGCAGTAGTTAGAGAGTAATATTACCAGTTTTTTGTAAAATCAGTAATTGTCGTCGGCGAATAATTTATAAAATGCATACAACTGCACTCTCATAATTAATATCTATGGTAATAAATAAATGTGGATTATTTGAATGTGTACAATACTACGTTTGACTACAAAAATGTCAACATGTGGAAAATATGACCCATTTTGAACAAAAAAATGTATACTACATGCGGTCCAAACTCGACCATTTTTAAGAAAAAGGCCTTTGAAGTTTTGAAATTTTTTGACGAATA